CTTAAGAATAATTAATTTATGTGTAATTTTTTTTTTTTAATATAATATAAAATTAATCATATAATAGGTTATTTTTAAATTGAATTTTTATTAACCGTATAGAGATTTACAAATATCGCTCATATTGTTATATGAACTAATACTATTGTAATTGTAACTTTTTTATTGGTATTACTAGTAGGAAAAAAGTTAAGAGAATTTTCTTTTTGATTCATCGTTTCGTCTAGTACGTGCCTTATTCTTGTTATTCCATTGAAATACGTAATATAAGCTGTGGATTCTTTAAGACAATCATTCTCTGTAAACTTCGTCCTACATTTGTTATAGTATATATATATATTATTTTCAATTTGACAACTTATATTAAATAATTCAAGCAAAAAATAATCCTGGGATGGTTTTAGGTTTGATATGAGCGTATTATATTTTTCAATTAAACAATACACAGTAGAGCTTATAAGTGATTCATGCAGTTCGTTCATGGTATAATGATGTATAGTGTTATAAACATAATATATATTTTTTTTTTATTTTTTCATAATCTATATCACCATTATTTTTTATGTTGAAAGTATATACATTTCTTATTAGAATACAATTATGAATTTGAACAAAATTATTCAAATAACTAAGTATACGATCGGAATATATATTATGAAATATTTTTTATATGTCTTTTTATCCATTATTTTATATAATTGCAACATTTATTTTTATCAATTGAATCAAGAGTATTAGCATACACAAAATATTGTTTTATTATCCCAAGTAAAGTAGAAATATGTTATTTTATATATACTACACTTTGATCGTTTATTTCGAATTCATTAATATAATCTGCATTCTCAATTTTTTTAACAGATTTAGAGGTTGTACCACTATATTTTTCATAATAATCGTAATACAAGTAGTAATAAAAAAAAAATAAATTATATAATATATACATTTAAATGTTAAATAAGTATTATTATTGATAAAATGCTAAAACAATCCATGCAAAAAAATAAGATATTATTTAGAAACATAATAGTATATAAAATTTACATTTCACTACTTACATCAGTTGACATTTTATACAAAAAAAATAACTATATTAATATTAATATTATTTTATTTTATGAATATTGAATATGAGGTAAAATTAAATATTATTTATATCGTGAATTTCATTTACTCTTTATAAAATTTAATCATGTTATATATTAGAAATTGTAGCCATACTAATATATATTCCTATAGTATAATTTGTTATTAAGAATTAATAAATGAATGAATATTAAGTATACAGAGAAGCTGATGAATAGATATATAGAGTTTATGCTAATATATATTTAACAAAGTAACCTACAGTTATTTTTAACATAAATATTTCGTAGTTTTATTAATGCTTTACTTATTGAAATATATTGTTTTTTATAAATAATACATACAGAATGGGTAATGTATATTATGCTAAGTATATATGTATCTTTGAATAAGAATTATACAAACAATGATATAAAATGTCTCATAATATAATTTATATTATTATGATTTGTATATATAATTTTAGTACTCGTATTATGGAAATGTATTTTTAAATAAAAACAATTACTCCTATTTATTGTTTACAGCGTTTTATAATAAATATATTTAGATTGAATAATATCTTTATATTATAAAAGAAAATAATAATGTAAAAAAAAAATATAATATAGATTAAATTATGTGTTTATCCAAAGGATTTTATAATTGTAGAAAACAAAAATTATCATATAATGTTAACTACAACATTATATTAGTATATAATGTAATATATTAGACACATTAAATTAGATGATTAGGCATGTGTCAGAATTATATACTTTGTTATAAATAATATATTATTTTTATGATTATAACAATTTAAAGAAAAAGAAGCTTGTAATATTTAATCATATATAGAATTAATAAAAAATAAATAATGAATTGCTTAAAATAAAAACAAAATTTGTATTAAATCTAATGATTTATATCAATATAACTTTTTGTGATAAAAATATTATATATTTCCTATATATAGTATAATAAAAGATATATAACAATGAATAAATATAATATATATAATACATGAATATATCAGTTAGAATATGTGTATAAATTATTTAACATTATATTTATTTTAAAATATATGTATAATGACATGTATAAGCCTACATTTGTAATAAGCATATATATACAAATGATATATAGATATATTTTTTTAAATGAATAATAAATTGTGATTATATTTTTATATACACGATATATTAAGGGTAATATTTTATATAACGTAATTTAAGCAAAAATCTCCTACATATTAGTTTAGCAAAATATTATGCTTATATAATTCTGTACAAATTGATCATATAAGATTCCTGATCTTTATTATTTTTTGGTATAAATTTTAAAAAATAATCAATTTTATAACTTAACATAATACTTAAATTATTAATTCTAAAATATATTAAGGATTTATTATTATTTATATATTTAGAATATGTGTATATTTATTTTCATCATTTATTTATATATATTCTTTTTTTTTGCGAATATAACACGTTTATTATACATTATTATATAATCAGTTTATATTAATATATATTTTTTAACAGGATTTAATTATACTTCTTAATGTAATATATATTATTCATAGAAAAATAATGGAACTTTAGGATAACTAAAGTATCATAATTTTATTTATATGTAGTTAATACTCAGATTGGGCATTATGTATATAAATTAAGCTTAATATAAATAATAAATAAATAAGATATAAAATAGTATTATTTTACCATTATTATTTATATACTGTTGAATATCACGTGATAAATATTTAATTAATTATCATTTTTGTATTTTTTCCAATTTATGCTAATATATTTAAATGTATTAATATTTAGTGCTATTAAAAAATTTTGAGCATAAATAAATACAATATATTGTATACTTATAACATTTTTATATCAAGCAATAATATACAACATAAAAATTAATATAATAAGAGTTTCACATCCTATAAGAGATTATATTAAATAATTTTTTTTTTTATAATATATAATGAATTCACAATGTGTTAGAGATATATAAAAAATAATAACTATTCCATATGTTAAAAATCAATAACTTGACTTAATAATAACTTTTTAATATTATTATGTATTTTTAATATATAATATTACTTTTATATGCTTAAAGATTATATATAATTCTAAAATTATATTTTAAGAACAAACATTTATATGTATAGCAGTATATAAAAATTATTTTTTATAATCATTTTTATTATAAGATAAATTTCTTATAATATTTATTTTATGAGTGAGCACATATTTCAATATTATTTTATGTTATATTTTTGATGACAAACATATATATTAAAATAATTTATGTATTAATATTATATTTTATGAATAATATGCTTTGAAGTATATGATACATATTATTTTACATAATGTATGCGTTCACATTTTACTATAAAATATGAATAAAAAATATGAAATTATATATAAAATTAATTTATGCCTCTTATTATTAAAAAGTAAAGGATAATTATTAATTTTTCCTTAATTGAAAAATAATTATGTGTCATGCCATTACATAAGCAAAGTAAATATCCTAAACTATATAATAAATATAATAATGATACACAAAAATATACTACAAAATATAAAAAAGTAGAAATAAAAATTATATAAATATACATAATATAAATAATTTTGAAAAATTAGCTTTATATAATTCCATATCTTAGTCATAATTATTAATGCACTACTGTCCTTTCTGATATAAATGTACATTATTCATAACATTTGAAATTACACGTTATGCAAATAGACTTATCTTCAAATTAGTGGATGGTATATAAATAATTTATAATATATAGTATTTAAATTTACAAAAATATAAGTGTTATAATATAAATATACAAGATATTACTTGTTAAAAAATCAGTGTTTTCCTTTTTATTAATATAGTATGCAAGAATAAATGAATGTACATTGATATTATGTAAGTTTCATATCGATATTTTCATCATAAAAAAATTTATGTTTATAATATATTCATGGATATTAAAAGCATTATATGAAATAAATAATGTTATATGTATTATTATAAAAGGAGTTATTATAATATATTATTAAAAACATTATTATATATTTTACCATTTCCACAAAATTTATATGCAGAAAAGAATAATGTTATTTTATTGCAAGTTGATATTATACTACATTAAAAATTTTGGAATATTTATATATATTTCATAAAATATAACAATGTAATAATGTTTTGAATGAATGATTTTAGAAAATATTTATATATTTTTTTTTTGCTATATTAGATATTGAAATAATAATATTTCATATAATATAATACTATACAGTTAACATGGACAATATTATCAATCACAAATATTATTTATCTAGATATGCAATTCTAAATTTAAATAATAAAGAATTCCATAAAATATAGATACATTAAAAAAAAATATACATATTTTTGTGTAATTACTATAAACTATCATTTTCAAGTATATTATTTAATTTTTTATTTATGTTGATGTTGTATTATGTTGATATACATATACTATTTAAACATTATATAAATAATATTATAGGTATATATATTTTATCAAAATCGAATCATAAAGGATAAAATAAATTTATTTCTATAATGTTTAAAATTTTTAATTATCCTTATAATGTTTAAAAATGTGTCTTCCATATCTATACAAGATTATTGCATTTACATTTTTTAGAGCTATATGTATAACAGTATAATTCAATGAATATAATATCTATGCGTACTAATGTATTTCCTATATTTCCTGATTTTCGGACAAATATGTTTTTGTTATAGTACATATAAACCTCAATTTTATTTATATATTATATATGCCCCGTGGTGTAATGATTTTTAATAGAATTACAAAATTTTCATGTCTTAAAAAAATACGAAACCTTGATTATAAGGTTAGACATTTATGCAATATATATTTTTATTTATTATTTAATGAATTATATATGACAAAAAGATGAATTCATAATTTATAGAATTATTTCATGATATGCAATGAATAAAGTAAAAATGGAACAAATATATATATATATATTCATTATAAATTTAAAAAAAGCAATAATTATTTTAGTATACTATGTGTACATACATGTTTTATCCAATAATTCGAATTTTATATAAATAGATATTTGTTCTTATGAAACATTATTTACGACACTTGAATATTTCTAAATCGGAAAAGAGAAATAACACATAACATATAATCATATTACTATCTATAACGTCATTTAATAAATTTTATTATCATTGTTTTATGTTTTTTGTTTTTTTTCTGTATAAATGAGATTCACGAAACATCGTGAATTATGAGTTAATAATTTAATTATATTAATAAATATAAAGAAAATTATTATGAAAAAATTAATTAATAATGTAAAGTCACAAGTTACTAGGTCACTGTAATTCT